AGGGCACTGAAACAGGTGAACTCTACTTCACCTGCCCCATGAACAGTAAAGTTTGAAATGTGACATAAATTTACATAATTAAATATCGTTACTTCTCTGTAAAATTGAAAGTTAAACTAAAATGTAAACTCAATAACTGAATATTAATCTGACTTTAGCATTAACCAGAAATTATCTAAACAATTGTATATACAATTCTCATTTACTTTTTTTTTTCAATTCACGCGGCGCTAACACAGATTCGAACCCACATTGCCTAGCTGAAACACTCACCTAGTCAGACGCGCTACCGATCATACCACAGTTGTGTTCAACATTTCAACCCTAACTCACATAACAAAATCACACTTTAGAATCCAAAAAAATAAAAATAATTCACGGTGTCTAATTTTGAAAAAAATTGCCAGGGGCGACTATCTAAATGCCATATTTTTTCCCCGCTAAGCTCCCTTGTGTTTGAAATTGGCTCCAGCACATGACGTCATAGGCCCCCGTCATTTTGGCTGCGTGACCGGCTTTAATTGCCAATCTACGTCTGGCTTCTGGCGTCATAAGGCTGTCATTAGCGTGCTAAACTTGTTTCAATCATTAGCGTGCTAAACTTGTTTCAATCATTAGCGTACTAAACTTGATTCAATCATTAGCGTTCTAAACTTGTTTCAATCATTATCAATCATTAGCGTGCTAAACTTGTTTCAATCATTAGCGTGCTAAACTTGTTTCAATCATTAGCGTACTAAACTTGATTCAATCATTAGCGTTCTAAACTTGTTTCAATCATTATCAATCATTAGCGTGCTAAACTTGTTTCAATCATTAGCGTGCTAAACTTGTTTCAATCATTAGCGTGCTAAACTTTTTTCAATCATTAGCGTGCTAAACTTGTTTCAATCATTAGCGTTCTAAACTTGTTTCAATCATTATCAATCATTAGCGTGCTAAACTTGTTTCAATCATTAGCGTGCTGAACTTGTTTCAATCATTAGCGTGCTAAACTTGTTTCAATCATTAGCGTGCTGAACTTGTTTCAATCATTAGCGTGCTAAACTTGTTTCAATCATTAGCGTGCTAAACTTGTTTCAATCATTAGCGTGCTAAACTTGTTTCAATCATTAGCGTGCTTAACTTGTTTCAATCATTAGCGTGCTAAACTTGTTTCAATCATTAGCGTGCTTAACTTGTTTCAATCATTAGCGTGCTTAACTTGTTTCAATCATTAGCGTGCTAAACTTGTTTCAATCATTAGCGTGCTTAACTTGTTTCAATCATTAGCGTGCTAAACTTGTTTCAATCATTAGCGTGCTTAACTTGTTTTAATCATTAGCGTGCTAAACTTGTTTCAATCATTAGCGTGCTTAACTTGTTTCAATCATTAGCGTGCTAAACTTGTTTCAATCATTAGCGTGCTAAACTTGTTTCAATCATTAGCGTGCTAAACTTGTTTCAATCATTAGAGTTCTATAGTTGTTTCAATCATTAGCGTGCTAAACTTGTTTCAATCATTAGAGTTCTATAGTTGTTTCAATCATAAGCGTGCTAAACTTGTTTCAATCATTAGCGTGCTAAACTTGTTTCAATCATTAGCGTGCTAAACTTGTTTCAATCATTAGCGTGCCAAACTTGTTTCAATCATTAGTGTGCTTACCTTATTTCAATCATTAGCGAGCTAAACTTGTTTCAATCATTAGCGTGCTAAACTTGTTTCAATCATTTGCGTGCTGAACTTGTTTCAATCATTAGCGTTCTACAGTTGTTTCAATCATTAGCGTGCTGACTTGTTTCAATCATTAGCGTGCTAAACTTGTTTCAATCATTAGCGTCCTGAACTTTTTTCACAATCATTAGCATTCCAAACGTGTCCACAATCATTAGCATTCCAAACTTGTCCACAATCATTCGCGTTTTAAACGTGTCCACAATCATTAGCGTGGTACAGTTTTTTTTCAATCATTAGCATTCTGAAGTTGTGTCAATCATTAGCGTTCTAACGTTTTTCAGTCATTAGCATTCTAAACTTATTCACAATCATTATCGTGATAGACTTGATCCCAATCAAAAGCGTTCTAAGCCTGTTTACAATCATTAGCGCTCTAAAGTTGTTTCAATCATAAGCGTTCTTCTTCACAATCATTAGCGTTCTAAAGATGTCTACAATCATTGGCTTGGTATACTTGTTTCAATCATTAGCGTTCTTAATTTTTTTAATCGTAAGCGCTCTAAAGTTGTCCACAATCATTAACGTGCTAAAGTTGTTTCAATCATTAGCGTTCTAAACTTGTCTACAATCATGAGCGTTCTTAAGTTGTTTCAATCATTAGTGTTTTAAATTTGTTCACAATCATTAGTGTTTTAAATTTGTTCACAATCATTAGTGTTTTAAATTTGTACACAATCATTAGTGTTTTAAATTTGTTCACAATCATTAGTGTTTTAAATTTGTCCACAATCATTAGCGTTCTAAACTTGTCCACAATCATTAGCGTGCTAAACTTGTTTCAATCATTAGCGTTCTAAAGTTGTCCACCATCATTAGCGTTCTAAACATGTCCACGATCATTAGCGTGCTAAACTTGCCCACAATCATTAGAGTTCTCAACTTGTCCACAATCCTTAGCGATCCCAACAAGTCCACAATCCTGAGGTGTCTAAAGTTTCACAGAGTTAAGCTGAAAAGTCACGAGTTCGAACCCCCGGGCAGATGATGCTCTATAGCTGGGGGATCACAACCCACCTAGGGGAGACAACTCCAACAACTGTTGCCTTATAGTTATTGTCTCATCTTCAATCATTAGCGTTCCTAACCTGCCAATAACCATCAGCGTTACAAATGGCCTATAACCATTAAAAGTATTAAGTTCTCAACAGTGCCAGATTCATTAACCTTTTAAGATAAACGGTAACACAATCATTACGCTTCTAAAGTCATGAATCAGCTGTCGAACTAACATTGAATTTTTAATTTATGAATGGGCAAAAACATCTTCACAGTGTTGAATTAGCATCATATTATATACATACATAATATGCATATTACATACAAATACTCATACCTCTATCTTTACATGTACATGTACTGTATCATACACTTACACAGATAACGATATAAATATAGATGAAGATATATAGATATAGATATAGATATAGATATAGATATAGATATAGATATAGATATAGATATAGATATAGATATAGATATAGATATAGATATAGATATAGATATAGATATAGATATAGATATAGATATAGATATAGATATAGATATAGATATAGATATATTCATGCCTATGTACATTTACATACAACATATACACACATACAGATATTTTATAGATATAAATATATACAGCATCATTTACATTTGCATACACATATACAGATACACATATACAAATACACAGACACAGATACATAGATACAAATAACGTTATAGATAAAGATATAAACATCCTTTTCTGGAACATAATTCACGTCTTGTTTAAAACGACTTGATCTACATATCGATCTCTCTACATCTTTAACCTTTAAATATCGATTAGCACCGGCCTACACCGTGTTGATAAAAAAAAAAAAAACATCCCCATCTAAACGACATTAAACCAGTTGACACTACACATCTACAACTCTAAACCTTTTTTTTTTTTTGCTACACCCTCATACATTTTCTAGTTACAACTCGGGGCCCCTTAAGCGCGTACCTCCAAGAAGATAATGGGCTTGTTTCTCACGCGTGAGCCGTTTTTTTTTTTTTAAACCGCCTTGCCCGCAGGCCAGTTTCTGGCCGCGGGATTTGAGCGGAGACGTTTTGTTAATACGTTTTCAAGGTCAAGGTCGGGTGGACAGAACGCAATGATGGGGTTTTAGAGAGAGGGGTGAAAGGTAATTTAATGAATGATTCATTAAGTTTTTATTTAGAGTTGAAAATGTTGATGCTGTTAAAAATGGAAACGTCAGTGTAATTAGATTTTAAGTAGTATGGTAGGTAATTAAATTGTAGACTATTAATAGTCTAGGTAGATCAGAATGGAGGTACATCCGTGCAAATATTCGCATACCTATATAAATATAAATATATATATATATATATATATATATATATATATATATATATATATATATATATATATATATATATATATATACATATATATATATATATACATATATATATATACATATATATATATATATATATACATATATACACATATACACATACACATATACATATATACATATATACATACATATAAGCTTCTATTTATGTATGTGTGTATTTGCATGTAATTTAATGTGGGGTATAAACTTGGACTTAGATATAGACAAGAGATACACGTAAAAAATTATTTCTACTTTTTTTTTATAAACTTTAAACAATCAATGTCACATACTTTTAATCCTAACCCTTAATCCCTTAAAAAACTGTTAATCTCTTAAAAAGACCAGCACATGTTTTTTTTTTTTATTTTACAACTCTACACTCAGCGTCTCGCTACATCTGTTTTCATTTATCGGACATTTCTCCACATTAACCAAACACCGTGACAAGGGGCTTATCCAAATGGTGACGATGGAACAGAAATGTTTCGCACTTTTTTTTTCTGTGTAATCTGTCTAATGCGTCTTTTCGGCCTGCAAATGGTTGTGAGGCGAGTACTAGGGGAGGCGATGCTAAATCTCTGCTGAGCTTCGCATCTTGCAAGATTAGCACTGCGAGTAATCTCCCTTTGTTTCACGATAAGGGACCGGGTCGGATTTTGGATGGAATGTTGGAGCATATGTGGAGTAATCTTCAAGGAAGTTTTTATTTTTATTTTTTTTTAAATAAAGTTTTTTGTGCGGAGAAAGGGGGGATAACTGTAGTTAATGGAAACTTGTTGGGAAGGGGTGGTAAGGTGGTAGAGCGTTCGACTGCTACTCGGACAGTCTGGGGTTCGGATCTCGGTCTTGACTTGAGTCTGCAGGTTATCCCTCGCCCCCTACACTGTCCTCACAAACATCTCATGGCATCATTACCTAATAGGTAAGCACGAACAATCACTCCCACCCCGAATTCGTCGTGTAAAAACCCTGATTGTCAAATTCAGCTCTACTAATGTATAAAACTGATTCATCATCATTCCTTTGTGGCCCCTGGGGAGCAAAGGGCTGCAACCACACATCTCCATCGGACTCGGTTTTGGGCTGCCCCCTTTATCTGTGCCCATGTGTGCCCAGCTGCTTACTCATTTATAATCTACACATTTTAAAATTTAGTAACATTGGATTGTGGTCAGTTCTATTTACTCGATAATGAAAACATATATATATATATATATATATATATATATATATATATATATATATATATATATATATATATATACATATATATATACATATATACATATATATTGAATGTATATTTTTAAATTAACGTTGGGTTGGGTTTTTTTTTTTTTAATTCAGCACTGTCCTGTGGTCTAAAACTAAACGGCTAGAACCTCTTCTGTTCGTAGCACATACTGTATTTTGTCTACTGAAAGTAATCGTGTCACGTGACTATTTAAAAATTCTATTTTTAACCCATTCTATTTTTAACCCCTTCTATTTTTAACCCATTCTATTTTTAACCCATTCTATTTTTATCCCTTGCAGGCAGGAAGAAGCTCAGCAGATCGACCAGGAGCTCTTCAACGAGTACCTGTTTAGTGTGGACCAGCTGATGGAGCTGGCCGGCTACAGCTGTGCCGTCGCCGTGGCCAGGGTAGGTGTGTGGGTGTTTGTGTGTGTGTGTGTTTGTGTGTGTGTGTGGGGGGGGGGGGGTGGGTGGGGGGGTGGGGGTGTGTGTGTGGGCTCAGACATATTAAAAAAAACACATCTTAATTAAGATATTAAAATAATGCAGGTGAAGTAGAGTCTAAAATGTCCAATTGAGATGACTGACTGCCCGCATGCCATGTCTACCAATGCCCGAATGACATAAATAACAGTGTCCAGAGGTCATGTCTAGCACCTCCCATATGTCATGTCTTACACTACCCAGATGTCATATCTAACCCTGCCATTTATATCTCACAGTGCTACCCTGTATCTAACCCTGCCATTTATATCTCACAGTGCTACCCTGTATCTAACCCTGCCATTTATATCTCACAGTGCTACCCTGTATCTAACCCTGCCATTTATATCTCACAGTGCTACCCTGTATCTAACCCTGCCATTTATATCTCACAGTGCTACCCTGTATCTAACCCTGCCATTTATATCTGACAGTGCTACCCTGTATCTAACCCTGCCATTTATATCTGACAGTGCTACCCTGTATCTAACCCTGCCATTTATGTCCTACAGTGCTACCCTGTACCTAACCCTGCCATTTATATCTCCCAGTGCTACCCTGTATCTAACCCTGCCATTTATATCTGACAGTGCTACCCTGTATCGAACCCTGCCATTTATGTCCTACAGTGCTACCCTGTTTCTAACCCTGCCATTTATATCTCACAGTGCTACCCTGTATCTAACCCTGCCATTTATATCTCACAGTGCTACCCTGTATCTAACCCTACCATTTATATCTGACAGTGCTACCGTGTATCTAACCCTGCCATTTATATCTGACAGTGCTACCCTGTATCTAACCCTGCCATTTATATCTCATAGTGCTACCCTGTATCTAACCCTGCCATTTATATCTCCCAGTGCTACCCTGTATCTAACCCTGCCATTTATATCTCACAGCGCTACCCTGTATCTAACCCTGCCATTTATATCCCACAGCGCTACCCTGTATCTAACCCTGCCATTTATATCTCCCAGTGCTACCCTGTACCTAACCCTGCCATTTATATCTCACAGTGCTACCCTGTATCTAACCCTGCCATTTATATCTCACAGTGCTACCCTGTATCTAACCCTGCCATTTATATCTGACAGTGCTACCCTGTATCTAACCCTGTTATATCTCACAGTGCTACCCTGTATCTAACCCTGCCATTTATATCTCACAGCGCTACCCTGTACCTAACCCTGCCATTTATATCTGACAGTGCTACCCAGTCGAGGCCCTGAAGAAGGACCACGCGGCTGTACTGGTCATCTGTGGTCCAGGCAACAACGGAGGGGACGGGCTGGTGTGTGCCAGACACCTCAAGCTCTTCGTAAGTCGATGGTCAAGTGGTTCTAGAACCAGCTGGTCAAGTGGTTCTAGAACCAGCTGGTCAAGTGGTTCTAGAACCATCTGGTCAAGTGGTTTTAGAACCAGCTGGTCAAGTGGTTTTAGAACCAGCTGGTCAAGTGGTTCTAGAACCAGCTGGTCAAGTGGTTCTAGAACCAACTGGTCAAGAGGTTTTAGAACCAGCTGGTCAAGTGGTTCTAGAACCAGCTGGTCAAGTGGTTCTAGAACCAACTGGTCAAGAGGTTTTAGAACCAGCTGGTCAAGTGGTTCTAGAACCAGCTGGTCAAGTGGTTCTAGAACCAACTGGTCAAGAGGTTTTAGAACCAGCTGGTCAAGTGGTTCTAGAACCAGCTGGTCAAGTGGTTCTAGAACCAGCTGGTCAAGTGGTTCTAGAACCAGCTGGTCAAGTGGTTCTAGAACTAACTGGTCAAGTGGTTCTAGAACCAGATGGTCAAGTGGTTCTAGAACCATCTGGTCAAGTGGTTCTAGAGACAGCTGGTCAATTGGTACTAGAAACAGCTGGTCAAGTGGTTCTAGAACCAGCTGGTCAAGTGGTTTTAGAACCAGCTGGTCAATTGGTACTAGAAACAGCTGGTCAAGTGGTTCTAGAACCAGCTGGTCAAGATGTTCTACAACCACTTGACCAGCTGGTTCTAGAACCACTTCACAATATTAGCGATATGTAAAGGGAAATAACTTAATCTATTAACTGACATAAAAAGGGCTATAACTCACAGCCTTCGTACATAACATCGCTTGTAAAAATAAATTAAGGGGGAAGGCTCCGGTAAAAAAAACTTTTTTAATACGCGTTAGAAAACAGTTATTTGTTTACAGCTTTATTAAGATACATCCGCATATGCATTTCCACTAAAAAAAAAATTTGAAAAAATCTTGGTAACTATGACAACGGCGGCCATCTTGAAAAATTAACCCCTTCGTAGGTTTTCCACCATTCACAAAATACTACATTTTTAGCCCAATAAACGATCAATTCATAATCTTCTTCCATATTTTGGGGCAATCAGCTAAAAATTTTAAGTGCATATCTTCAAACTAATTTTTTATGAATTTTCAAAATTTGTGTCTGTTCAAAACACTAGTTTTAATGCCCCAAAATTCCCCAAAGTTAAGGGTTTTGAACGGACACATATTTTGAAAATTCATAAAAAATTAGTTTGATGATATGCAATTAAAATGTTTAGCTGATTGCCCCAAAATATGGAAGTAGATTATGAATTGATTGTTTATTGGGCTTAAAATGTAATATTTTGTGAATGGTGGAAAACCTACGAAGGGGTTAATTTTTCAAGATGGCCGCCGTTGTCATAGTTACCAAGATTTTTTCAAAAATTTTTTTTAGTGGAAATGCATATGCGGATGTATCTTAATTAAGCTGTGACGAAATAACTGTTTTCTAACGAGTATTAAAAAAGTTTTTTTTTACCGGAGCCTTCCCCCTTAAGTAGGGTTGGGGGTGGACTTGTCGATGTAAGCTTTTGATGAATGTATAAAATCAAGTAAATGTATTTTACAACGTGAAAATAATCACGAAACCTCCTCATTTTTTTTAAACAACATACATTTATCAAAAAAACCAACATTGATTAAACTTTATCAACTTTTTTAAGCTTACCGATTTAGTGTACTATTATTCTAGAATCTAAATATTGATGCCAGAACATGATTATCGAAAACTTGTTCACAAAAAGTCACAAAACATTTACAAAAAGTTAGTGCAAAAGCTCTCAACTCCACTATACAACAGAATTCAATGGTGTAGGAAATACGCTCTAACAGACACAATGGACACCTTCAGAAACCTACACCTCAAAACCATCACACCCAAAGCCAGGGAAATAACCTACAGACTCATCTACAATTTAACACCCCTAGCAAAACAACAGAAACCATTTTGCCCACTATGCAGACAAAACACACCCGAAACCGAAACGCACATCTATTTAGAATGCCCCACCATACAAAACATGAAAAAGACGCTAGAAAACAAAATAATAAAAAACGAGACCTACAATATCGATATAGTCATAACTCTAAACAAAATCCCAATACAAAGAGATAGGACGGACCTAGAGCAAAAAGCAAGGACGGTAGCTATATATAGACAGACTATTTGGAACAGCAGAATAAAAGCAAAACACGACAAGGTACAGTTCACGGGACACGTACTAGACTTGATTTATCGTAGACGACTCGACAATGACAGCACTCAAACACATATACCATAATTAACAACACCAAAACGTAAAGAACATATTACACTGCTTTTGCCACCTGGAACGCCTAATCGAACTGACACATCCCCCTTTCATCACACCCTCTCCGCCCCCCCGCCCCTAAACCTCATGATCCCAATATCAAATTTCCCCTCAAAACTGCATCCCCTCGTCCCCATGACCCCCACCCCTGTGATGAAGTACTATGTTAAACAGTGACAATGATGTATTATCCAAATACATTTCTAACAACATCAATGTAACTCCCACCCCTCAACCCCCATGTCCCCACTCTGTGTCGCATCATTTATCATTTGGCATTTCATTTTCCTATTGTTGCTTTTTGTGTATTGTTTAATTTATAAAGCTTACAAACATTGTAAAGCTATTATTTGTTACTATATTACTATTATCATATATGTAAGGTACTTTGGTCCACAACGTACAAATGACCCCAATGACCCGTACTCCTTTTGTATTCATTGTATTATCACCAAATTAACACTTACAGTTGTTTCGTTAACTTTACTAACTCTTTTATGTGAACACCAATTTTTTTTTATCTATAAAACTCCACTGTATCCCTACACGTGATAGCTACACGCCTACCCACCCCTAACCTGTCGGTACTTAACATTCATCTAAACATAAACACCGACTTGAACATACCAACCTTTCACCCTCCCACTAATTCGCTCACACAGCAATCTGTTCGTCAAACCCTCCCCCCCCCCACCCACACTACAAATGGTAACACATCAGCAGTCAGATAACACAGCACAAAATTTGACGCTTGGCTTGCCTTAAAACACGCAGTCACCCTCTCCACGCCTCGTCAGACACAGCTACCCACTCCCCCCTCTCCCCCTCTATCCACTTACCCTCAGACATGAAAACACCACTTTCCCTTTAACTGTTCCAACGACCCCACCACCCACCCCAACATCAATTTCGAATATCTATTCATTTACTTTTTAAAGTTCTAAATCTTGTTTCTTTCCCCTCTTTTTTTACACAGCAACCTTTTGAAAACTCAATGCGACCAGTACATAAATAAACACTCTTTTAACTAGTCAACTTAATTTGTTTCCCTACATTGAAAATGCTCCACTGGCCCTTTGTCATTCTCGGAAAAATATACTTTCCACTCCCCACCCAGACTTCTGACACGTTTATTTGACCTTCACCCCTTTTACTGCCATCTTTTGTAATTTTTGTTATAATCATATACATGACATCACGCAAATATTCATTATGTACATGTTCAAAACCTTTCGTTTTCATTTGAAACTATGTAAAAAATGTGATGTTGATGTACTTGTTTTAATTGCAAATAAAAGTATTAAAAAAAAAAAAAAAAAAAAAAAAAAAAATTCGATGACATTATCAAGTTATATGTGAACTCTTAATTTATTTTCCCAAGGACCTGAAGGTCTGAAGGGGTTTCATTCCTACAAAAGCCGAGGTGAAGAAACATGTGAACTCTACTTCATCTGCCCTACAGACCTTTAAGTCCGACTGCCCCGGAGAATTACTTTACTTTATATTCATCCAACAGAATGTTCCATCATGTTAGCATTGAAGGAGACTGGCATGAAGTGGCGTCGCTAGGTCGGATGTCACCCGGTCCGGCACCTCATTGTGCCCCCCCCCCCCCTCTTTTTTTTCTCTGTAGATTTTACAGTTAACGTCATGCTTTCACCCCCAACCCACCTTTGTCGTGATCTTTATTAAGTACTTTAAATAATTTCTTACTCCAATTAACCATTAATTGAACTGGCAAGCTATATATCTTGCATGTTGTTTTTGTCTTGGTGCTTGTCCCCTCTAAATGGTGTCACCTAGTGCTGTTGAAATGATCCATCTTAGGATAAGAACAAAAACAGTTTAAATTCACGTAATCTTTTAAATCTGAAAATTCATTGTGCTGGTTAAGGAAGAGAGGCGTAGAGACCACTACCGGCACCCGGGGACAAACTTTCAATTTGGTCGTCGTCGTTTCCCCCCCCCCCCCCCCCCCCCAACATATATATTTTTTTTTATATTTACTATATTCAAAACTGCAGCTAAAATTAAAATGAGCTTTTAATTTCATTTCATTTTTTTCAACCCATTTTGGCGCCCCTAGGGTCGGCGCCCAAGGACATATGTACCCCACCCCCCCCCCCTCGTCGCTACGCCTCTGTTAAGGAGAGTTGATCTGTTTCGGATATAAGAGAAACTGATTTTATGACAAGCTCTCGTGAAAGCGGTTTGTGGTCAGCTTTATTTAGAACCGCCAGTACTGACCACGGCTAAATGTCATGTACCCTTCAGAGGGTTCTTGACGAGGTAGAGTAGGGAAGAGGGCGTCGTGTGGTTCCCGAACCCTAGACTCAATGGTTAACAGTCGTGCGCGCTACCCCTCCACCACTCTCACTATATTCTCTGTAAAGCCCCCCTTCCAGACATGACGGTCTATGGGGTAAGTAAAGTAGGGTTCCCCTGTTTCTGTGACCTCGGTATATAAAGGGATATTGTGGTCAGCATCCAAGGACGGTCTACTGACTTGAACCCGGATTCGAACATTAGACTTTTGGGTTAGCAGTGTATCGCTCTACCGCTAGGCCACTCCGACCCATGATGTTATCAGCACTATGCGTGTATAGCCTTGCGCTGTGTTTTCTCTACAGGGATACAAGCCTACACTGTTCTACCCCAAACAAAACAACAAACCTTTGTTCAAGGCCCTCGCTCTACAGGTAAGTACATCTGGTACCTGCTGGTCGTTTCTTTCTATGTCAAGTTATGGATAGTATGTTTATGTACAGGGTAGTGTTAAATAGCACATACCTTTTATAAAGGACTATGTGTATATGTTACGACCGTAAGCTGATGGGGAAATTTTGTTGATGAAATTACTGTGCTTGCAAAATTTTAAAATTTTAGTGATAAAAATGGTTAAGTAATGTAATAGGTCATTCCGATATTAATTTATTTTACCTTTTTTTACCAAAGATTATTCAAGATGCTTCTTTAATATAGAATTTATACTACATCTGACATTAGTAGATTGATTTGGTCTTATAGCTTTATTTTAGTATTACAATAACTGCTGATATGTGTTATATTTTATATGTTACTGTATGTTTGATTATAACAATTTTTATCAGTTATCGATTTCTGACAATGATCAATTCAGACAAGTATCATCTCCTTCCAGCTTACTTCTTCAATTATCAACTTCAGACCATTATCAACTTCAGACAATTATCAACTTCAGACAATTATCAACTTCAGACAATTATCAACTTCAGACAATTATCAACTTCTGACAATTATCAACTTCTGACAATTATCAACTTCAGACCATTATCAACTTCAGACAATTATCAACTTCAGACAATTATCAACTTCAGACAATTATCAACTTCAGACAATTATCAACGTCAGAAAATTATCAACAACAAACAATTATCAACTTCTGGCAATTATCAACTTCAGACAATTATCAACTTCAGACAGTTATCAACTTCAGACAATTATCAACTTCAGACAATTATCAACATTAGACAATTATCAACTTCAGACATTTATCAACTTCAGACAATTATCAATATTAGACAATTATCAACTTCAGACAATTATCAACTTCAGGTACTTATAAATTTCAGACAGATACTAACTTCAAGTATTAACTTCAGACGGTTATCAACCTCAAACAATTATCAACTTCAGACGGCTATCAACTTCAGACAATTATCAACTACAGACAATTATCAACTTTAGACAATTATCAACTTCAGACAATTATCAACTTCAAACAATTATCAACTCAGACAATTATCAACTTCAGACAATAATCAACTTCTAACAATTATCAACTTCAGACAGTTATCAACTTCAGACATTTATCAACTTCAGGTAGTTATAAACTTCAGACAGATACTAACTTCAAGTATTAACTTCAGACGGTTATCAACCTCAAACAATTATCAACTTCAGACGGCTATCAACTTCAGACAATTATCAACTACAGACAATTATCAACTTTAGACAATTATCAACTTCAGACAATTATCAACTTCAAACAATTATCAACTCAGACAATTATCAACTTCAAACAAATATCAACTTCAGACAATTATCGACTTCAAACACCGCCAACTGTTTACACTAATTCTCTAACCCTAACCCTCACGTGATCTCTATGCCTCTAACTCTCACGTGCCCCCAGTGTGAGCGGCTGGACATCCCGACCCTGTCTTTCTTCCCCACCGACCCACAATGCATCGTGGACAGTTTCAACCTTGTGGTAGACGCCCTCTTCGGCTTCAGCTACACGCCCCCCGCCCGCCCCGAGTTCTCGGGGGTCATCCAGAGCCTCATACAGATACAGGATCGGGTTCCTATCTGCTCCATAGATATTCCCAGTGGTAAGTTCTATCTGCTCCATAGATATTTCCAGTTGTAGGTCATTTTGTTACAAAACTAAGGGGAGATACCACAAATAAGTTGTGGGTCATTTTTTGTTAAATAGACATTAGTAGGTAGGTTACTTGTGTTTGATATATAGTCCCAGTGGTAGGTCATTTGTGTTCCATAGATATTCCCAGCGGTAGGTCATTTGTATTCGATAGATATTCCCAGTGGTAGGTCATTTACTAGAGTATTCCTAGTGGTAGGTTATTTGTGTTTGATAGATATGTATAAATGTTAGGTCATTTTTGTTAAATAGATAATAGGTAGGTCATTTGTGTTTGATAGATACTCTCAGAGGTAGGTCATTTGTCTTAAATAGACCTTACTAGTAGTTATGTCATTTTTTGGTCGAAAGATATTTATTATTGGTAGGTCAGTTGTGTTCGATAGATATTCCCACTGACACGTCATTTTCCTCTATTCTTAGTGGCAGGTCATTTTTGTTAAATATATATTCCTCGTGATAGGTCATTTTCTTCCATAGATCGTCCAAGTGATAGGTCAGTCTTTCTTATATAAAGTTTTAGTAGTAGGTCTCACTGTTCTGAAGATACACCTATTAGTAGGTCATTGTGCTCTTTAGATATTCCCAAATGTAGCATACTTTGTTCCAAAGATATTGCTGTCAGTAGGTCATTTAAATTTACTCCAAATATGTTGCTAATTAGAGCACGGAGCCTTGTTTAATTTATATCTAGTCCTACAAGTATTTCTTCTGATTTTATAGATATTATCAGTGGTTATGATATTTTAAAATTGTTTTATAGACATATTCTTTTCTCAGAATGCAGGTTATTGTTAGGTTTCATCTTGCGACACTCACCCCTAGACATACCACTCGTGGTGCCCAAAAGACCCCAAAAAAGAGATTATTTTAAGAGATTAGATTTTTGTGACTTAGTTGTCAATGAACTGACTGACCCTCGTGTTTTTGTCCCCAGGGTGGGACGTGGAGAAGGGCAACCCCGAGGGTCTCCAGCCCAGTCTCCTCATCTCCCTCACCGCCCCCAAACAGTGCGCCACCCAGTTCAAAGGTCAAAGGCATTTCCTTGGCGGGAGGTAAGTACAACAGCCAAGCTGCGGCTTTTACTTGGCCAGATAAATTTTCCGTTTTATTTTTATATTTATATATTATTTTCGCCAGATGTAATATTTTGTCTTTAATTAAAAGAATTGTAATACTTATTAACAGTAGTAAAAGAATAATATTAAAATATTTACTTATAAGTACTGCAGTAGAGTTTTTTTTTTAATATTTGTCTTTTAATTTTTATAACTAATTTGTTTGTTTTCCTAGTTTTTTTTTCTTTTACGATATGCTATTCATAGGTGTATAACGTTGTTAGGACTCTGATCGGTACGCTTTTTTTAATATACTTGTTATTACAACGGATTGGAAATTTTGTGGATATTTTAAATGGATGATTAAAATTGTGTTACGTGTTGTGGGGAATGTTTTGATAATTTATGACTGCATTAAGCGGTGTTGCCACTGTTTGCTAAAATAATGTAACATTATTTTGGACTGTTTTAACTTTTATCCCTACTTTGATCAGTGAACAAATGCTTATTGGTGTAAGGGAGGTAACAATGAAAATGTGCAATAATTTTGTCTTGTTCTTATTATTTCCCTTTTTTAATAACACAAATTGCTGTGAAAGTTTTACTTCCCTTTGTCTTTCTTCTTCCAGGTTTGTTCCCCCCACCCTAGAACAGAAATACGGCCTCCGACTGCCCCCCTACCCCGGCACTGACCCCGTGGTGGAGCTCAAGGTGCCAGACAGGGAGGACAACTCGCAGAACCAGTCTTGAGAACTTCCATGTATTTGTCAGAAAAAAAAAATTATGAGTTACCTTTCCTTTCTAAAAACTTGTTCAATTTTTATACTAGTGGTTTCCAGATTTAATGAAAATAGAATTATTTTTTTTTAAATAAAATTTACCACTGCTAAATGTTAATGTTAAACATGCTTGTAAATTAAACATGTACCAAACTGGTTAATTTTTTTTCTTTTTCGGTTTCTTAAATTATTTTTATTTTGTATTAATTTTAAAGATTCTTCTATTTTTTTTCTCCTGTCCCTGTCAGCTGTGTGGAGAGGGGGGGGGTCATGATTCATGGGCAACATCTGGCTCTTTTCAACTTAGGGCCCAGACTTTGATTTTCCAATACACAATTATCCTGTGGTCTATTAGACTAAGGATCCTTATTTCAGAAAAAATAAAAATAAAATTATCCCATAAAAACTTAGTCAATGGGCTTTAAGAAATGTTTGTTTTAATGGAATTCAAATCTGATGCAATTATTTCAAACATTAATCTTTTTCTGCACTGATTTGTTAAAATTAATATCTATAACACTGTTTAATACATTAATGAGTTGCATATTACAAAATTTCACTATGATTATTAATTATATTATTTCAAACTTATTTCCAAGGTGTTGTTTAAAAACCTCTGGCTATGGTGTGTACATATTATAATATTTGTTTTAATTAATTAACTTGGAAAAAATGTTAGATAATTTACTGTATTATTACTCATCCATGTAGAAACTGCCCTTTAATTGCTACTAATATTAATACGCCATACACATCCAAGGTTTAGTTTAGCTATCATTTAAAATACCACAAACAAAAGTAAATTTTTTTATTTTTTTTTAACCGAATGCATCTGAGAGAGTATATGGTTGATCCTTATATGTTTATGTTTTTTATTTAATTCTGTTATGCTGACAGCAATTCATACAATGTACATCAACTAAGAATATTGACTCATGTTTTATAATAGGCCTATACATGTTGATAGTTTGTAGGAATGACAAAAGGTTACAACCTATCTAACACTGACTGATGTTTGTTACTGTTAAGATTTGTTTCTCATAAAACTCATGTTACAACATTTTAGTACAACGTTCATTGTATTTTCCAATAATGTTCACTGGAGCTTAAGTTCTCGCTTGAGCTAAAGAGCTAAAGCTTGTTATTGGGAACTAAAACAACAAAGAATGTTCATCTTATTGTTACATGTTGTGGCCAGGGGGTAGTTTAGAATTTATAGGACATCTGTTGAGTTTGCTCAGCTAATATGAGTACCCGTCATAAGTTAGTGAGAGTCAAACCCACTAGGAGCTGTATCGCCCTTATAATGTCTTCATTTTCTGCATACCTTCACTTCATGCATTATCTGTTTACATGCATGAATGGGCTGTTTGGTTTAACTACTAATCTAATTTTAGCAATTTCAAGATTGAATTAATTATTTTTTTTAAAATCTTTCAATAATTGTTCCATGTATTTCTGTATCTAACCTAATGACTGCTATAAATAACTCTGGCTTTTTTAATTAGTTTATGTTCATTTTTTTGCTGCTATTTTAAATTTTAAGAAAAACACCACAATCATTTAATCAACAAGCAATTAGAATAGCAATTAATCATAACTGTATTTTCTGGAATAAGAACTAAGGAAAATAAAACTTGTTAATCTATTTTTTGTAATTTAGTTATATTTTTTTTAATTAATTAAGAAAATAGTGTTTAAAATCATTTATTATTGATTTATGCATTTTCAACCCTTTCCGATTCCGTTTTTGTTGATTGTATTTCCTTATAAATAAAACTGCCCTAAAAAGCTGATGACAAATGTGTTTTATTTTCTTATAAGATAATATCCAATACAAGTTCACAAAAATATTATGTGATAAACTAAATCTTTCAATGCTATGAATAAAATGTATTAACATTTTAATAATCCTTCAGAACAACCAATATAGAACTATAATAATGGAATAAGTTTAAGGAAGGGTGGAAGAGTGTATGATTGCTATCTCAAAAAGTCCCCAGTAAGAACCCCTTGACAGATGCGGCTTGTTAGCTGGGGACAACAACCCATTTAGGAGAGAAGTTTCAGAAATAAATAACTACTGCTTGATGATTTTTCCATGGTGGATAAAGGTGCACATCCAGTAAAATAACAGGCTTAAAACAGAGTCAACTTGTTATCGTGTGCATAAAATGTTGACACGTAATACTTCATTGTGTCTGTGGAAATCCACTTACAATGTTACAATAAAGAAGGAAAAAGAAAGTTACCATGGCAATCATAACAAGTTATAATTTCTGAAGTACACAATAAATGTCTTATACATATAGGCTTAAAATGATTGCATAGAATGTGCACAATATAATTAATATTATTACAACGTATATGGTATTATTCCCAAAACATAACATTAACATTAGGCTGTGTGAAATAATATGTGGTTATATTTATATAAATACATACAGAAAAATACATTTTATATCGTTTTCTCAGGAAAAAAGCAAATGTTAGAATTTGTTTTCTTAACCAGATTTTTTTGTTTACCGGACCTAAAAACACCACTTATATTTACTTTTTTCTGATTCTAATTTCTATGGCGACTGATAAAATTATTGCAATGCATATATTGTAGTTAGTAAACAAGCCTATAATTAGTTAACAAGCCAACTAAAGACTACAGTTAATTAATAAGCCAATGATTATTATTAGTCAACAAGGCTATAACTCAGTTAATTATAAGCTTATGATTATAGTAGTCAACAAGCCTATGATTATAGTTAGTTAACAAGCCTATGATTATAGTTAGTTAACAAGCCTATGATTATAGTTAGTTAACAAGCCTATGATTATAGTTAGTTAACAAGCCTATGATTATAGTTAGTTAACAAGCCTATGATTATAGTTAGTTAACAAGCCTATGATTACATTTAGCCAAACCGCCTATGGTTATAGTCAGTTAACCAGCCTATGACCAACAGGCCAGTAGTAGAGTAAAGGTCTAGGACAGGGTAAAGTCTCGTACTCTACTGGGTCAAAACAAAGAGGTATTTTAGACCAGTCTTCTACAGGTAATCTTGATATTGGTTCTTGAAACATCAACGTTCGCTGTAATCTTGGTGGGAGTTTGGTCTTCTTCAATTTTTTATGTCTCATAGGTCCAGTCCCAAGTAAGGTGGAGACTTCAATAAAAGCTAGTTTGACCAGTGGCCAGGGTTCATTCAAAGCTGATTGTAGTTCAGCAGGTAATTTCGGCAATGGCCTGCTATAGTCTTGTTTCTCTCGAGTGCGGTTATGAAAACCAAACAAATTTCGCTGATAAGTTAATCTTGAAGTTTTTTTAATTTGTCGTATCGATTGAATATCAGTGTAAAATATAAATCGTGTAGCGAAAAAGTATTTAACAAAGTGCGATAACTCATGAGAAAGTACACAACAGAGGCTAGAAAAGTCGCAGTAGTTCCCCCTGCTCTTGAAAGTACTGACGTAATGACGAAAAATAAAACCGTTAGCGAGGAAAAACTGGAATAGATGTAGGTGATTGTTGGAAATTATCTTATTAAAAGTCTGCATTTTAACACCGAAAGAGAATTTAAAATAAAGATATTTAACTAAATATCTATAGCTGTCGTTGACGTTAGGGCTAATAGCCAGTTGCAGTAATTTGTTCAAGGATTTTTTGCTTGTTAGTCCTTGGGATGTTAACAAAGAATGAACCAAAACAGATTTGTTTTCCTTGTCTAGAATGTTTAAATCAGCTCCTAACAAAGCGAGTTTCGCTAAAACTCGGGAGCTACTTTCTTGCAGAGGCGTAGCGAGGGGGGGGGGGGGGCGGGGGGGACTTATGTCCCCGGGCGCCGACCGTAGGAGGCGCCAAATTGAAAGTTTGAGGGGGAGGGCAAATGAAAAGTTTGAGGGGGGGGTGTAAATCGAAAGTTTGAGGGGGGGGGGGGTGCAAATGAAAAGTTCGAGGAAGGGGGGGGGGTGCAAATGAAAAGTTCGAGGGGGGGGGGGGGCGCAAATCGAAAGTTTGTCCCCGGGCGCCGGGAGGGGTAGCTACGCGTCTGCTTTCTTGAGCAGCCATCATACAGACAGTTTCATCTCTGTTGTTTGTTTTGTTAAAATCAGCTCCTTTAGAGTGTAGATACTCACATATTGCTTCAGTATCCACAGGCCCATAACTTGTATAGTTTAAATCTTACTCAAGACAACGTGCATTAAAGGCGTTCATCCTTCGCTGTCCTGTATGTTTACATTAGCTCCACCCTCAACTAAAAGCTGAATCAGAGTAAAGTTCTGAAGGTCAGCAGCATACATTAAAGCTGTTTCCCCAGTGTTGGTAGCAAAATTCAAGCCTGCTCCATATTCTATTAACAGACTTGCAACTAAACCTTTGTTACGTTTAATGGAGCTAACCAAAGACGTTAGACCTATTTGATTTTGAATATTTAAATCAGATTTCGCATCAATCAAAGACTTGGCGATCGTAACGGTGGAGGCAAAGTGTATTGGGGTGTCATCGTTATTGTTTGTGACATTCACATACGCTCCGTTTTGTGCTTCCATAGCCTTCGTCCAACCAAGAACAAACTACAAGGCAGCAGTTGTTTGATTTTGGAGTTGTCTCCAACTAGAAGAGTTATTGTCCCTAGATATCGAGCCTCATCTGCCCGGGGGTTCAAATTCAGAACTTTTCGGTTCAGCAGCCATGACCTTAACCTTCAGCCAAAGGCTTTCATCGATGGATTTCTATACCACTGCTACATTTGGGAATTTCCATAAAAGTAAAAATAAATTGTTTTATTTATTTTTAGTAATGGTTTCCCCCCCCCGAAACTCCCTGTCTATAAACTAGACCAGACAACACGATTAAAAACGTTGATGTGACAGTAACGGGACCACAGATTGTTTTATCTTCACTGGAAGAGATGGTGTAACGCAACCAATACAAGAGATTCCATCAATTAAGGTATGTCTGCTAGTTTTTGTTACAATGTAATACAATAGTAACCACATTGACAGTTAAGAGCTTACATTTTTTTTCTTTAAGAAACATCAACACTCATAATTTATAGATTAAGAATTTACCTATTCAAATAAAATAGGGAACTAGTAACAGATTATATGTGTGAGGGGGGGAGGGAACAGGGCATATCTATCTATCTATCTATCTATATATATATATATATATATATATATATATATATATATATATATATATATATATATATATATATATATATATATATATATACATGTATATACATATATTGTTTACAAAACTTTGCAGATAAAGTTTTCAAATATATATACATGTATTTACTCCTAATATGTGTTTATATATATATATATATATATATATATAAATGCACATATATATATATATATATATATATATATATATATATATATATATATATATATATATATATATATATATATATATAAATGCACATATATATATATATATATATATATATATATATATATATAAATGCACATATATATAGAGTCCTTGCAAACACGTGACCTAAATCACGTGATACCTACGCCCGCCGCCACAGTGGTGTACATCAGACGTAAACACAATCAGCTGTTCGCCAGCGCTGGACGTGTTCACCAGCGCTGGACGTGTTCACCGTATGTAAAGAATCGCGCCCGCGGAAAAGGAAAAATATGTTAAAAAACTTGAACTCTTAGGAATTGAAGATCCTTATACAGTTATTGACAGTTTCGTGGATAATAATTAATATAAATATGTGGCCGAAATTTCTAAATAAAAATACTGTTAGTAATACCGTTTGCGTTTAGAGTTAAGTAGACGAAGCTGATCAAATGCAGTAATATATTAGAGGTTATCTACTGTAGCAAACGTGAGACCACTTAACTCCTACAAAACCCACACTACAACGGCTAATATAATCCATGGGTAATAACCAATCTGGGTAGCATGTTATACAATTTAAGACCCTTATAATCCAGCAGGGAAGTAATCAGACACATTAATACTGACGTTCAACCCTCATGATGGCTGCCCCCACCTGTATCTAGCCCACAATAAAACCAAAGAGGAGTCTGCCCTGCCCTCCCCTGAAAATGTCTCACCTCCGTGATACCCAGCCCCACAGAGATAGTATTTCTTATATAATTTTGACCCTCAGGGCCCAGCAGGGAGAACAAAGGGGAAAGTCCCACTGCTCTCCCCTCAACACTTCTCACCTCGGTGTCATGTTATGTCATTTATAGCACACACGGCTTATCAGGGGAAAGCATTAAGGCATTAAGAATCTTAACTCTGGACAGCTACACACTAGTATACTAGCTACACACTAGGTGCCTACTGTAAACTACTAGACTGTAGGCCCTATGTAGACCTGCAATTGTATCAATTGTAGACTGGGTCCATTGTTATTATTCTAAACCATCTCACTTATAATGTTTCTAGCTTGATTTGTTTATTTTATAAACAGTGGATTTAAAAAAAAAATTTAGCCTAATCATTAACCTAATAATAATAATGTGGTTATTTGTTGTTGGCTGGTATGATCTAGATTGTACTACTAGGCTACAAAAACTTAGTAGACCAATTACTAGATATGAATTTGAATTTAATTAAACTCAGGCCAGTATCAGATACATATTGATGTAAAAAGACAACAAAGTAGGTAGGCCTTAGTAATTTATTAAAGCCTTCTACTACAATAATATCAACTACATGCTTGTATAAAGTTTTTACAATTTAATTTAAGTAGCAGATTCTAGATCTAAGTCTCTATTTCAATTTCAGAAAATTTCGTTTGCTAAAAAAATGATTAGATAGTAGAGCGAGATTTTAGATCTTAGAGACAATTAAATGCTTTATTATGCCTATTATGACTACTTTTGATTTATTATGGGTGTATTTTGAATCGAATGTAGATCTAAAGTAATTAAATTTAAGTAAAGAAGTAGATTCTAGATTCTATGTCTACCCAGCGGAGCCAGGTATAAGCCTACTATTAGATCTTATTATTCTTATTAGCCTATAATATTACTTTTGACTTTGTCTTTTACTATTAGTATTTGTGAAGGTCGAGCATATTTGTTTTATTAATAGTTATCTTTTATAATTAAAATGAAGTTTATTATTTTACTGTCCTTACATGAAACAAAGTATCGAGAACTGCATTTGATCAGATTTGGCTACTTTAACTCTAAACGCAAACAGTATTACTAACAGTATTTTTATTTAGAAATTTTGTCCACATATTTATTTATACGAAACTGTCAATAACAGTATAAGGATCTTCAATTCCTAAGAGTTCAAGTTTTTTAACGTATTTTTCCTTTTCCGCGGGCGCGATTCTTTACATACGGTGAACACGTCCAGCGCTGGTGAACACGTCCAGCGCTGGCGAACAGCTGATTGTGTTTACGTCTTGTGTACACCACTGTGGCGGCGGGCGTAGGTATCACGAACGGACGTGACGTCATATGAAAGGACTCTATATATATATATATATATATATATATATATATATATATATATATATATATATATATATACATATATATATATATATATGTGTGTGTGTGTAACAGTTAAATGTAGATGAATGTATGTTTCGAGTGTGTATCTTAAAAGAGGTGATATGGATATAAAATATAGTATGGGTGTGCGCATGCGCTAAAGAAAGGAAGCGAGAGGTAGATAGCGCGGGAACAACATGGCGATGTTTGCAGTGAAGGTGTTGTACATATGAACTAATAAATAATGGAAATTACAGGAACAAGGGTTGATTTTTTATTTTGAGTGTGTGTCATGAAATAGGTGGGAGAAATATATATTTATAATATATATATATATATATATAAATATATATATATATATATATATATATATATATATATATATATATATATATATATATATATATGTGTGTCTGTGTCTGTCTGTGTGTGTGAGTGTATATAAATTGCCAACCCCACTTGTTGGTTCTATGACATTAAAACATGAACACATCTAAACCTGAAAGCATTGAACCAAACACGAGAGCGCCTTTGTTAATCACTGGACCATTACATCAGTTTGTAGGTCCATGCTGGTTGTAGCTTTCCCCCCCCCCTCTCCTCTACCTGGTTTGCAATTTGATATCAGGGATGTATAGGCCCTATTTAAAAAAAAATTAAACAGTTGAACCCGGAAGTTGATGATACAAACAGGATACAAGTTAAAAATTTGTTTTAAAAATCAAGTAGTTAGTTAATAATTTGTTACTTCCTGCTTCATAACATCTGATTTTAGTTTCTCAAAATGTAACAAATAAAGTAGCTAGTTAATAATTGTTCAATTCTGCTTGATAACATCTGATTTTAGTTTTTAAAAATGTAACAAATAAAGTAGCTAGTAAATAATTGTTCATTTCTGTTTCATAACATATGATTTTAGTTTCTAAAAATGTAACAAATAAAGTAGCTAGTTAATAATTGTTCTTTTCTGCTTGATAACATCTTATTTTAGTTCTTATAAATGTAGCAAATAAAGTAGCTAGTTAATAATAGTTACTTTCTGCTTGACAACATCTGACTTACCTTACTAAAACTGTAACAAGCTTGAACTGCTTGACATTGTCTCAGCATCTTTTATGTTTCTCCACACAGACCCTCAAGCCAAACCAGCTAACGGATCAATTCAACTTTTACAGAAAATACATTCCGCACCAGTGTCCAACCCTACAGCCCTTTGAAAATTTAAGTCTCTACCCCCGAAAAAATGTTTCAGGTTCTCCACCCTTCCCCTCCCCCCTCCCCATCACCACCAAAAAAAAAAGTCTAAAGGAAACACTTCGGTTAGTTAAAGTTATGTTTTAACGTAAAGTTATGTTTTAACGTAAAGTTATGTTGTAACGTAAAGTTATGTTTTAACGTAAAGTTATGTTTTAACGTAAAGTTATGTTTTAACGTAAAGTTATGTTTTAACGTAAAGTTATGTTTTAACGTAAAGTTATGTTTTAACGTAAAGTTATGTTTTAACGTAAAGTTATGTTTTAACGTAAAGTTATGTTTTAACGTAAAGTTATGTTTTAACGTAAAGTTATGTTTTAACGTAAAGTTATGTTTTAACGTAAAGTTATGTTTTAACGTAAAGTTATGTTTTAACGTAAAGTTATGTTTTACCTTATTTGAATCAACTTGGTCACAAAATGTATTTTTGTGACGATGTATGTGAATACTTAGATTGGAAGATATTACTTGATAAAATTGTAAACAGATCATTTATGAAAGAGACTAATTTTTGTTGTTGCTATTTTGTATGATGTACAGTCAAACTGATTTAATCTGTTTCCAGATTCGGAGAAAAAACTGTCCCTCGGGATTTTCTAAAAGTTGGAGTTTCCAACAAGTTCAAGATGGTACTAACTGATACGAGGCAGATCTACGAAAGAGCCCACCTAGGGGGCTCGCTGAATGAATTAAAAGAGCAAATTGATTACAGAGATGAGCTGGGTCAGACTGCATTAATGCATGCTGTTGTTGAAGATAATGACCACGATACCACGGCCTTAAAAAATCTGTTGACATTTGGCGCCGATCCTAACGTAGTTAGTAGCCAACAAAGATACACCACAGCACTGACCATAGCTGTTAACCTAAGAAAAGTTGAGCATGTTCGAGAACTCATCAGGGCAGGAGCTTTCTTTATTTGCGAGCGAGGATTCGAGGCTTTAAAGATCGCAAGAGAAAACAACTTTTTAGATGATGTATTGATTGGGGATGAAGCCATGAAAACTAGACCACATTTTTCTAAAGAAAAAAATGCGTTTCATGTGGCTTATAAATACAAATGTTTCGATCTGCTCCTAGACTTGATAAACTACGGTGTCACCACAAGTATAACGTCAATAGATCTATCAGATTTAGCTAGAGCTGATCTATTCAATGTCTTAATGAACTCGGCTAAAACAGATATAGACGAACAAGACGACAAAGTGCAGACTACACTTATGCGCGCTGTACAACACAACAAAACTCAAATCGTCCAGTCGTTAATTCAAAAAGGTGCGTGTCTTGATGTTGTCAATTTAGAAGGAGAAATGGCGCTGCATATTGCTTGTAGAGGTCCAGTTGATATGGTCAAAATACTTTTAGACGCTGGAGCTAAAACGGAAATATACAACAAAAATAATTTGACCCCATTAGCGGTAGCGACGCGTAGTTTTAACATAGAAATTATGACAATAATGCTAGCAGCTGGGGCTGATATTAACTGTAGATGCACTAAAGGTGAAACCTTGCTAATGATGGCCATTCGTGCTTGCGAGGAGCAAATAATTAAATTTTTAAATTTTTTGAACAGTCAAGTAAATATTAACACCGTTGAGGAAGATCTGAATACAGCACTTCACAGCGCGTGTGATAAAAAAAGTTTTTGTGTTCCTCAACGCCTGACGCCATTTTCTATAGCTTCAAGACAACGAAATACTCAATTAATGAAACAACTAGCCCAGTCAGGGGCTGATGTAAACTGTCAAGATGAGAATCAACGAACACCTCTTGTAAACGCAGTCATAAATTCAGATGTAAATATGACAAAAGTTTTGCTGGATCTAGGCGCTGATGTTAACATTTTGGACAACGAAGGCGCATCTGCACTTTTTTGGGCAGCTAGAAAAGGAATAGGAAGCATTTTCAAAACTCTTCTTTGTTTTAAAACTAAAGCAAACTATACCTACCACAAGAAAACGTCGGCTTTGTTTGATGCTTCTACAGGCACTGACACAAAAATTGTACCAGACTTAATCAATTTAGGCCCAATCGTTAACGTTATATCAAGACATGAAATAATACTACCTAAACCGTATATTACATCTCATCTTTTAAAAGAAGTACACGAAAAATTGATCCACCTTTCAGAAGAAAAAGTTACTATTCTACATATTGCGATATCAATGTTTTCTCCAGAAATTATTAAACTGTTAATACAAAATGGGGCTGATGTTATGGTCGTTGATGGGCACGGTAGAAGCCCGATACATATCGCAGCTGCTAGGGGAAGTTTGGAGATTGTGGAATCTTTACGTCAGAGTGGTGCTGATATAAATGTTGTGGATAAATACGGGAATTCCCCGTTGTTTGTTTCGATACTGTATAACCACAAAGAGTTAACCAAATATTTGCTTGAATGTGGAGCTGATGTAAACTTGATATGTTATTCTCTATGCTCGCCTTTATTTGTTGCTGTTTTGTATAATGACATGGAGCTTGTAACGTTGTTAATTCAGCATGGCGCGGTTGTTGACAAAGGCAAAGATTCAGAGCTGTTGGCTGCTCTTCGAAACCAAAATGTAGATTTGGTCAACATTTTGTTAGATATAGGCGCTGATATTAATGCGAAAGATAGTAAGCAAAGGTCGTCTTTAAGTTTAGCTTTACGAAGCTGTTTTGATATCACCATGCTATACGAAAACGTTTCACTCGATTCGTATTTGAAACTGTATACTACGATTTTTACAAAAGAGGAAATAGAATACGGAAATTATACTATACGGTATGGTCGACCTAAAAGAGAGAATTTACTTTATAAAAAAGCAGTGAATAAATCAAAAGCATTAACAATGTCACTAATTAGTCACGGTGCCAGAATTTCTGAGAGAGATAATGAAGGCAACACTTGTGTTCACGTGGCCGCCAGGTTCTGTGGTAAAGAGGTGTTGGAGATGCTGATCGACCTTAAAGCTGATGTCGATGTCCAGAATAATAACGGTGAGACACCGTTAATCACAGCTTGTCGATATGGTAAAACAGAGGCACTAGATTTTCTGTTAGCCTTTGGAAGTGGTGTAGTTATGGTGGATCAAAACAAAGACACAGCACTTCATCATTTGGTCCGATTTGAGAAAGATGAATGTACTTGGGCTAGTTTCCTGCTCGTATATGCAAATCAAGAATTTAAACGAAACCGTTGTGAATCAGATCCTAAAGAAATTCTTTTAAACCCGCTAATTGTAGCCAAAAATAAATACGGTGAGACCGCGCTATCAATAGCTTGTAAACATGGACACGAAAAGATTATTAACCATTGTCTACTGGGGTTTAGCCTTGATAGAATTAGTAATTTTGGCGAAGCACTGTTGAGACAATATTGTAATTACTATAATGAAGTTGATGACTTTGGCGACACGCCTTTGATTATTTCAATTAAACATAAACACGACAGAATAGCAAAATTACTACTTGACCTTAAAGCTAACTTACATGTTCAGGATAAAAATGGTGAAACGGCTTTACACATTGCAGTCAAACATAGCATGGAAGAAACAGTTCAACACCTCATACAAAACGGAGCGTATGTGAATGTCATAAACATAAACGGTGAAACACCAATTCACTTTGCCTCCACCGTTACGATCGCCAAGCGTTTGCTTGATGCTAAATCTGATTTAAATATTCAAAATCATGTTGGAGAAAAGCCTTTGCTTAGCTCCATTAAACGTGACAAAGATTTAGTTGCAAGTTTGTTGATAGAAAATGGAGCAGACCTGAATTTTGCTACCAGCACTGGAGAAACAGCTTTAATGTATGCTGCTGACCTTCAGAACTTTACTCTGTTTCAGCTTTTAGTTGAGGGTGGAGCTAATGTAAACATTCAGGACAGCGAAGGACGAACGCCTTTAATGCACGTTGTCTTGAGTAAGATTTCAAGCTATACAAGTTGTGGGCCTATGGATACTGAAGCAATATGTGAGTACCTACACTCTAAAGGAGCTGACCTTAACAAAACTAACAAGAGAGGTGAAACTGTGTGTATGATTGCTGTTCAAGAGGTTAGCACCCGAGTTTTAGAGAAACTCGCTTTTTTAGGAGCGGATTTAAACATTTTAGACAAAGAAAACAAATCGGCTTTGGTTCATGCGTTGTTAAAAGCAAAACAAAAAACAGATGAAACATATTTAAACAACGTGTTACAGCTAGGATTAGGTTATGACGTTCATGAAAATTACAAATATGTAGTAAAAGAATTATTTTGCAACTTCTCTTTTGTTGTTAAAAAGCTGTCTTTTTATAATATTATTAGTTCTGGTCTTAAACATTTGTTCCAGTTATTCCTCGCGAACGGTTTGGTATTTGGGCCATCTGTCAACACGATGCAGAACCTGAAATTTTACTGCAACAGTTCTAATCTATGTTGTGCGCTCGCTTTGAACCATCTACACTTTGTAAAGTACTTCTTCGCTACTGGATGTATTTTCAACATCGATCTACATGGGTTGCGTCAGATTACAAGAGCTGACCCCAACACTTCAAACAACTACAGCTGGCCATTGCCAAAGTTACCTACTGAACTACAATCAGCTTTGAATGAACCTTGGCCACTGGTCAAACTAGCTTTTATTGAAGTATCCACCTTACTTGGGACTGGGCATATGAGAGAAGAAAAACTAAAACAGACCAAACTCCCACCAAGAATGCAGCGAACATTGATGTTTCAAGAACCAATATCAAGATTACCTGTAGAAGACTGGTCTAAAATATCTCTTTGTTTTGACCCAGTACAGTACGAGACTTTACCCTGTCCTAGACCTTTACTCTACTACTGGCCTGTTGGTCGTAGGCTGGTTAACTGAGATTTTAAAAATACTACACATTAATTGAATAGGAAGACATGACATTTTGAAATCACTATCAATCTCAGTCCAAATGAACAACCGCTTTATGATTAATGTCACTCTTATTTAATTATTTTTTGTTTCTTTTTCTATTTCTTCGATAATGTAGTTTGCTTATTTTTGTATTTACATTTTTTACCTACATTTTATCAAGTATTTACTCTAATGTTCATTTAGATAATTTGCTTTGCATATTTATATAACTGGGATATTTCTATTCTGTTTAGACCATGCAGTATAATATCTTAAAATGGATTAAAATAGTGTTTATGTTTCTTTAGTTAGCGTGTAGGCCTAGCTATTATATAAATACACTTATATATACATATATATATATATATATATATATATATATATATACATATAATATTTATATATGTTTAAAAAACGTCTTATTGTAACTAGTTGCTTTGAGCGTAGGTTTATAAGCGCAAAATACCTGTGTACATATTTCTAAAATAGAGTAAAATATACATTTGCTTGGCGATCATTGAAGAGTTCATCTTTCATGACCAGTATTTTGATCGTCAAATTTAGACATTGCAAGAATGAAGACCAAACAATTGATGTGTTTCGATATTCTTAATACTGTAACTTACACTTAGACCTACTCAAACGATTGGTTTTTTTTGTCCGTATATCAGTGGAAAAACAAAACCAAGCATTGAGTGTGTCGATCTTTTTGGCGGTGGAACGGCTAAAAAATATTTTTTAAATTCTTTATTCAAATGTTTGTAAGCTTTATTTTTTTTTTAATTTAATAATTGTGTCCTGTTCATTCTCCATTTATCCATTGGGTAACGGGACAGCTAGTATATTATATGTTTTTCCTACTCACTTTTTTGCAAATGAAGTAATTGTTACTCGGACGCGGGAAGTCTCGTGAGCAAAAACATTTTAACTAGCTCCATAATTTAAATGAGTTTTTGATTTTTATTTTCTTTACTTTTCAATCGAGCCTTTTTTTTTAAACATTATTAAAGCTGGATTAGTTTTATATAATGATTTTGTATGTCTTTTTAAAGTTAAAAAGCTACAAGTATTTTGGATTTTAAACATAAAAAAATGGTGTGTTTTTGTATCTTTTTGTATCATTGTTTCTATTTTTAATCGAGTGCGTGTCCGAACAAAATATTAAAGTAGTTTTTAAGTAACTCCAAGCCTTATTTTCAAATATTTAAATTTTTAGAAGATGGCGAAGAGATTCTATAGAGAGAATGCTGTATGATCCACAAATGATCCACAAATGTCACGCCCACATCACAAAAATTAAAGATGGTCCTTCAACTCAAACCGACATGAGCTTCTTGGTAAAACGCCACATAGGCGAACACCATCAATCCCATTGGCGTCACAAAGCGGATGTGGGAGGTGCAGTCCGCACAGAGTGACTTTTATTTTATTTTTTAAAGGGAGGGGGTAACACCACGGAGAAAAATCGTAAATTTTACGGTCAAAATTAATTTGTTTCTAACTAAAATAACTAAGCAGAGCGAGGAAGGGGTGACACAAACCATGAATACAAAATGATACGAGAGGGGAGGGGGTGACCCCCATTTTAGTGACGCCTTTAGTCTCAACGTAAAAAATTATATTTGGATATTCCTCTAATGAAATGTAAACTTTCAGTTTCTTTCATCGCATCTGTGTCCAGTTAGAACTCCTACAAATAAATTCAGCCCCTGATATTCGTCGCATCGTTTGTATCTAGGACCATCTCTTGTCAAATGCGCTCGCTTGTAGGATTGTGCAAATAAAGACACAATTATGTACTGAAGAAATAATTATTTCACAGGGAACTTAGAATAACTAAACAACACACACACAGACGCACAACTCACACACACACATAGGCCGGAGTTTCTTTCTGGCATCTATTTGGGGGTCAGCTCTTGTAATCTGACGCAACCCCATGTAGATCAGAGTTGAAAATACATCAAATAGTGAAGAAGTACTTTACAAAGTGTAGTTGGATCAAAGCGAACGCACAGCATAGATTGGAACTGTCGCAGTAAAATGTCAGGTTATACAACGTGTTGACAGATGGCGCAAATACCAAACCATTTGCGGGGAAAAACTGGAACAAATGTTTAAGACCAGAACGAACAATGTCATAAAAAGACAGCTTTTTCAAGACAAAAGAGAAGTTGCAAAATAAATCTTTAACTAAATATTTGTAATTTTCATGAACGACATAACCTAATCCTAGCTGTAACACGTTGTTTAAATAAGTTTCACCTGTTTTTACAAGCTTTTATTTAACTCACTTCCTCGACAGTCTGTCTGTCTAGACCGAAACGCCGGTGTGAAAATTCGGAAACTTCTACTTGATCGATACGATTCACACTTGGCACGTGGGTCAAGACATGAAGACAATGCAATCTGAAATTAAATTTGACTTAATTGGATGCCTAATTAATTTTTTATGAATTAATTAAAATTTGGACCGAATTAATAGGCATGTCTATCCAACCACACCACACGCGTCATCACGTTCAATAGCTGCGACATCACGTTCAATGGCTGCGACATCACGTTCAGTAGGCGCGCAATGGTTTTTAGTCATATAACTCTATTGTAAATAAAACATGTAAAGTACTGAAAAAAAATTAATAAAAAACGTTTTAATAACAAGCTTTTATGTAATAGTGCACTAAAAAGTACAAATGTCTGATGTGTGTGCTGTTTATTGAATTTGTGAGTTGCCCTCCTGAATTTGTGAGTTGGATTTCTGAATTTGTGTGTTGGATTTCTAGATTTGTGTGTTGGATTTCTGAATTTGTGTGTTGGAATTCTAAATTTGTGAGTTGGATTCCTGAATGTTTTGTGTTGCCTTCCTGAATTTGTGAGATGGCTTCCTGAAATTTTAGTATATATATAAGAAATTAAAAACCATTTAGTTGTATTCAGTCAAACAGCTCTATTCTTTTTGTAACCTCTTTTGTAGTATTATATGCATGCATCAAAATCATCTCAGAGCTCGAATTGTAAGTTATCTTGTTATTTAAATAAACTAACTACTGGTTCATGACTTAATAAAAGCATGAACTTTTAGTAGAAGCATTGCTTTTTTCGTTACCATAAACAATATATTATTAATAGCTAACAATGAATCTAAACATATTTTGCCCGTTATATAAGCCTCCTTGTTACACTAATAATTTCGGAAAACCTAATTCTTTGAAAAACACAAGACGATTTCGTTTATTTATCCTGAAATTCCCGAACATATTTTTCTCGCCGGTAATCAACGTAAGGCTCGCGAGAACAAAGCGTCAACTGGTCGCTAGGCGACAACCATAACAACTTACAGATAACGGTGTTGACACTTTAATACGTTATACGTTGTGTAAGTATTTTACTCTTAAACGTAATTAAAGAAATTGTTTTACTATGTCATGTTTTTATAGTGATTTAAGTTTTAAAAAAGATTTATATGGCAGAGAAGTTAGTTATGCTTTTTTACTTTTAAAGAAGTCCGGTTTTAAATTTGTCTACACAGTCGTTGTGACACATAACTGTAACATAGCCAACATACTAATGGGCTATTTACGTCGTCCACACAAGAAATATATGTATGCATTAGTATTGGATTCAGATAATTTCCTATAGTGTAAATAAAATAGTCGGCAACATTAAGATACTAAATTAATGATATTTTTAGTTCTGTTAGTGTCGCTGCCGGTGTTGAAGTTATTATGAGGATTAATGTGAAGGATAGGATCAGATTAAAGCTCAGTTTAAGGGCTTGTTGACAGCCTGTATTTAAATAAAGGCGAGGCTTATAGTCAGTGTAGGCAATGTAGGAAAACAAAATGGATAGAAAACACCCAGCGGTTAGAAATAAATACATTTGATGAGCTATGACGTCCCATGTTTCGGTTGATCACAGAAATATTTTTCATTAACTTACCGTATGTGATACTGTTTTACACTGTCATGAAGTGCAGCTAGATCTAGCTGTTTCTAGCACTGTGTTTACACTTGCGACATGTATACTATATACGTCTAGAAAAAAAACACAACTTCGCCATAAGTTAATTTTATCAGAACATGTATAGGAGTCCTACTCACTTATTGCGAAGTTGTTTTTTCTAGACAAGTATAGTATACATGTCGCAAGTGTAAACGCGGTGTAAGAATACCAGATTGAAGTTTCTGTTTGCTTTATTTTTTTTCAGGGTCAGTTACATTATCTGCACAGTCGAATAATCAGTTTGAATCATGCTTGTGGAACATAGGGACGCAACTACGCCTCTCCATCGTACTCAGTTTTGGGAAATTCCTCCAAGTTAGGCCCACGTCATTCCGGCTGCTTCTGCTTCACTGACAACCATAGGTAAAAAAAAATTAAAACAACCACCAAAACCACATTTTTGAAACACCGAATAAAATGGTGCGATTTGACTCGAAAAGAATTTACCAATTAGCCAGCGAAGGTAAATCGTTGAGTAATTTTCAAAGGCAAATTAATTTCAGAGACGAGTACGGTCAAACGGCTTTAATGCACGCTGTTAATGACCCTAAGATTGAGGCTTTGAAACAATTATTATCTGCTGGTGCTGACCCTAACATAACCAGAAACAAAACTCAGTACATCACCGCATTGACCATTGCTGTTACCAAAGGAAGATCTGGGCACTTGAAAGAACTCATTAGAGCTGGAGCTTTCCTTACATGTGAGCGAGGGTTGTTTGTTCTACAGATGGCGAAAGTAAGCAACCTGTTGGATGATGTATTGATTGGGGATGAAGCCATGAAAACGAGACCAAATTTTTCTAAAGAAAAAAACGCGTTTCATGTGGCGTATAATAACGACTGTATCGATGTGCTCCTAGATTTGATAAACTACGGTGTCACCACTAGTATAACATCAATAGATCTATCAGATTTAGCTAGAACTGATCTATTCAATGCCTTAATGAACTCGGCTAAAACAGATATAGACGAACAAGACGACAAAGGGCAGACTACACTTATGCGCGCCGTACAACACAACAAAACTCAAATCGTCAAATCGTTAATCCAAAAAGGTGCGTGTCTTGACGTTGTCAATTTGGAAGGAGAAACGGCGCTACATATTGCTTGTAGAGGTCAAGTTGATATGGTCAAAATACTTTTAGACGCTGGAGCTAAAACGGAAGTACACAACAAAAATAATTTGACGCCATTAGCGATAGCGACGCGTAGTTCTAACATAGAAATTATGACAATTTTACTAGCAGCTGGGGCTGATATTAACTGTAGATGCACTAAAGGTGAAACCTTGCTAATGATGGCCATTCGTGATTACGGGGAGGGAATATTTGAATTTTTATTGAAAAGTCAAATAAACATAGACGCCGTTGATGAAGATCTGAATACAGCACTTCACATCGCGTGTTATTTTAGAAGTTTTTATGTTTACACGCTCATACAAGCTGGAGCCAAACTTGATGTTTACAACGCTAAAAGCAAGACGCCATTTTGTTTAGCGTTTGAACAAGGAGATGAATCTACGATGAAACTACTAGCCCAAGCAGGTGCCGATGTAAACTGTCAGGATGAGAATCAACGAACACCTCTTGTAAACGCAGTCATAAGCACTGACGTATACATGACAGAATTTTTGCTGGATCTGGGTGCTGATGTTAACTATGTAGATAATCAAGGCAAATCTGCACTTATATGGGCGGTTAAAAATAAAAGTGAAAATTGTATTGAAACCCTGCTGCGTTTCAAGTCTGATGTAAATTGTGTTGACTACAAAAATCGATCCGCTTTATTTTACGCTGCTGGTACATGTAGCAAGAAAATAATCACTGATTTAATTAAAGCAGGTGCCCTTGTTAACTTGACAGCAAAACATTCTTTAAAATTATCAGAACTGGATAGTAGATTTGATGTTTTAAAGGATGTACAAGAGTATGAAGTTCGTCCCTCGGAAGAAAGAGTCTCTGTTCTACATTTTGCTGTGTCAAATCATTCCGCTGAAGCTGTAAATATACTATTAGCTGCTGGAGCAGATGTCAATGCTGTTGATGAACATGGTAGAACCCCGATACATATCGCAGCTGCTAGAGGAAGTTTGGAGATTGTGAAATATCTACGTCTGTTTGGTGCTGGTATAAATGTTGTGGATAAATACGGGAATTCCCCATTGTTTGTTTCGATACTGTATAACCACAAAGAGTTAACCAAATATCTGCTTTAATGTGGAGCTGATGTAAACTTGATATGTGATTCTCTATGCTCGCCTTTATTTGTTGCTGTATTGTATAACGACACGGAGCTTGTAAAGTTGTTGATTCAACATGGCGCCTTCGTTGACAAAGGCAAAGATTCAGAGCTGGTGGCTGCTCTTCGAAACCAAAATATAGATTTGGTCAACATTTTGTTAGTTAAAGGCGCTGATGTTAATGCGAAGGACAAGAATCAAACGCCATCTTTAATTTTAGCTCTGAGGAGCTGTCTCAATTCCAACATGCTTTCAGGGATATCAGAACAAAATATCTTGGAAAGCCAGAAAGATGATCACTCAATGGAAAATATACAAACGGCATTGAAATGTACTGAAGATGTGAGTGAATACACGCGGTATGGTCGACCTACAAGTAAGGATTTACTTGATGAAGAACAAGTGACAAAATCAAAAGCGTTAACAATGTCACTAGTTAGTCACGGTGCCAGTGTTTCTGACAGAGATAATGAAGGCAACACTTGTGTTCACGTGGCCGCCAGGTACTGTGGTAAAGAAGTGTTGGAGATGTTGATCGACCTTAAAGCTGATGTCGATGTCCAGAATAATAATGGTGAGACGCTGTTAATGACAGCTTGTCGGTATGGTAATGTTGAGGGGGTACATTTTCTGTTGACGTTAGGAGCTGATGTAATGTTGGTGGATCAAAACAAAGACACAGCACTTCATCATTTGGTCCGGTTTGAGAAAGAGGAAGTAACCGGCGTTGAAATTCTACTAAAATTTGCTAATCAAACATCTAAACTAAACCAATATGAAGTCGATACTACTGAAATGAGCTTAAATCAATTGACTGTGGCCAAAAATAGATATGACGAGACCGCGTTGTCAATAGCTTGTAGAAATGGTCACATAAAAACTGTTCAAATTTTGTTACTAGAACAATTCAATCTTAACGAAATTAATTACTTTGGCGAGACACCTTTAATTAATTCAATTAAACATAAACACGAGAGTATAGCAAAATTACTACTTGACCTTAAAGCTAACTTACATGTTCAGGATAAAAATGGTGAAACGGCATTACACATTGCAGTCAAACATTGCATGGAGGAAACAGTTCAACACCTCATACAAAACGGAGCGGATGTGAATGTCACTAACAATAACAGGGACACCCCCATTCACTTTGCCTCCACTGTTACGATCGCTAAGTGTTTGCTTGATGCTAAATCTGATTTAAATATTCAAAATCAAATAGGTCTAACGGCATTGCTTAGCTCCATTAAACGTAACGATGATTTTGTTGCAAGTTTGTTAATAGAAAATGGAGCAGGCTTGAATTTTGCTACCAGCACTGGAGAAACAGCTTTAATGTATGCTGCTGACATTCAGAACTTTACTTTGATTCAGCTTTTAGTTGAGGGTGGAGCTAATGTAAACATTCAGGACAGCGAAGGACGAACGCCTTTAATGCACGTTGTCTTGAGTAAGATTCCAAGCTATACAAGTTGTGGGCTTATGGGTACTGAAGCAATATGTGAGTACCTACACTCTAAAGGAGCTGACCTTAACAAAACTAACAACAGAGGTGAAACTGTCTGTATGATGGCTGTTCAAGAGGGTCGCTCCCCAGTTTTTGAGAAACTCGCTTTGTTAGGAGCGGATTTAAACATTCTAGACAAGGAAAACAAATCTGTTTTGGTTCATTCTTTGTTACGATCCCAAGGATTAACAAGCAAAAAATCCTTGAACAAATTACTGCAACTCGGTATTAGCCCTATCGTCATCGACAGCTACAGATATTTAGTTAAAGATCTTTATTTTAAATTCTCTTTCGGTGTTAAAATGCAGACTTTCCATAAGATAATTGCCAACAATCACCTACATCTATTCCAGCTTTTCCTCGCTAACGGTTTTATTTTTCGTCATTACGTCAGCACGTTCAAGAGCAGGGGGAACTACTGCGATTTTTCTAGCCTCTGTTGTGTACTTTCTCATGAGTTACCGCACATTGCTAAATACTTTTTTGCTACAGGATTTATATTTAACACTGATATTCAATCGATACGACAAATTAAAAAAACTTCAAGATTAACTTATCAGCGAAATTTGTTTGGTTTTCATAACCGCACTCGAGAGAAACAAGACTATAGCAGGCCATTGCCGAAATTACCTGCTGAATTACAATCAGCTTTGAATGAACCCTGGCCACTGGTCAAACTAGCTTTTATTGAAGTCTCCACCTTACTTGGGACTGGACCAATGAGACATAAAAAATTGAAGAAGACCAAACTCCCACCAAGATTACAGCGAACGTTGATGTTTCAAGAACCAATATCAAGATTACCTGTAGAAGACTGGTCTAAAATACCTCTTTGTTTTGACCCAGTACAGTACGAGACTTTACCCTGTCCTAGACCTTTACTCTACTACTGGCCTGTTGGGCATAGGCTTGTTAACTGACATTTTAAAAATTACTACACAATAATTTAATAGGGAGACATGACATTTAGAAATCACTATTAATCTCAGTCCAAATGAACTTACGTTTTATGATTAATGTCACTCTTATTTATTTATTTTTTTGTTTATTTTTCTATTTCTTTGATAATGCAGTGTGTTTATTTTTGTATTTACCTTTTTTATCTACATTTTTTCAAGTATTTACTCTAATGTTCATTTAGATAATTTGCTTTGCATATTTATTTAACAGGGATATTTCTATTCTGTTTAGAGCATGCAGTATAATATCTTAAAATGGATTAAAATAGTGTTTATGTTTCTTTAGTTAGCGTGTAGGCCTAGCAATTATATAAATACACTTATATATATATATATATATATATATATATATATATATATATATATATATATATATATATATATATATATATATATATATATATATATATATATATATATACGTTTTTCATCGCTTATAGTAGAGTGATCGCTTCCATTATTGTGATGTATAGCATTTATTTTCTACTTTTAGTTCAATCAGATATCGTGGGTTTTTAAAAACTTTTTTAATGATAATTATTTTCTACTTTTTAGTCTTTGTCTGTTTGTTTGCTTTAAAATCTTGCTATCGATTTTATCTTTTCGCATTCACTTTTTTTTTGGGGTAAACGAAGACCACTCGTAAAAAAGACGTGCCTTGAACCCGTGTCGAGTGGGTTAGCAATCATGTGACCAACCACTCGACCATATCTTCTCCCCAATACTGGCCACCAGTATTTACGTTCTGGTTGTTTGTACACAAACACCGCGTGACAACTACTCAGTAAGCAAAAAGAGGGAGAGTACCGAACCTTGTTTTCATCAAATTACAATTACTGGGTTATGTCCCTTTTTCCCCACGTTTTTTGTACAATTATATAGCGGTCTAAAATGATCAATTAAATCTTTCCATGGATCAATTTAGTAATAATAACAATTGAATATTCTATTGTCATCGGAAACAAAGCTTCTCTGAAAATTTCAGCGCGCTAGCTAACTGGGAAGTGCCCGAAATTTTGATCGCAAGATTTGTATCCTTTTGTGTCCTTTGTATCTAGGACCATATCTGATCAAAGGCGCTTGCTTGTAGGATTGTACAACTAAGACACAAATATGTACTGAAGAAATAATTATTTCACAGGGAACTTAGAATTAGTAACATACACACACACACACACACACATAGGCTAGAGCTTCTTCCAGGCATCTATTTGGGTGGGGGGTGGGGGGGGGCTTTGCTTCCACCCCCCCCCACCCTCCCAAACGAAGAAAGCCTTAGCCCCCCCCCCCCCTCCCTCCCGAACAAAACGGAAATTACATAGAAAATATATACTTAAATAGTGTCCGCTTCCTCCCCCCCCCCACGGAAATTTCAAGTGCCCCCCCCCCCCCAGGAGAAAAACGTCTGGAAGAAACACTGACATACATATATACATACACACACACACACACACACATATATATATATATATATATATATATATATATATATATATATATATATATATATATATATATATATATATATATATATATATATATATATATATATATATATATATATATATTAATTATTGTCTTGAAATTTTAAAAAAGCAGATGGAAAGAATACTATTGGATTTTTAATCTCGCTATTGAAGGCCTGTTCACTTATGCCATGCATTCCTCGAACTCATCATACCAGAACATAAGGCACCATCTTGATAGCGTACCTGGTGGAAAGGTGTAAAGACACGCCCTGTTAAAAATATACCAAACTTCTTCTAAATTTAGGTCTACATGTTCTAAACATGCGCACTGATCTTTATATTTGTGTATAGAAAGCTTAACCATTGCAGAGACTATTAACAATTAACTATCACCATATAATAACAACCATCTCAGAAAGCAAGTATTACAATAAAAACGTTTTACTTAAATTCATTTTTACTTTCTCGTATACGAAGTATAGAGGTAGTGTAATCGTGCAAAAATCGACGTTTTTACACCTTATGAGTCGGGAAAACATAGTTTTGCAAAATGTGTCCGTATGTCTTTGTGTATGTGTGTGTATGTCTGTTACCGTTACAGTTAGGATGATGAAATTTCATGTATTAGTATTATTTCAAATTTGTAGTTTTTCTACATTCTACATTTGGTTTTTTCAAAAACCCGATAACTAGAGCACTGTTTCACGTAGATAAACGAAATTTTAGATATAAGTAAAAGATCTAATTCTCTGCTTTTCTGTTAAATTTTTGAGTAATTTCCGTTGGGGAAAACTACAATTGTTTACATCAAATTTTTTGTAGGAAAACTTCAACTATTTACACCTGAAATATTGTATACGCTGTAACATTTGTAACAAAACTGTTTAAAATGTAAAATAAAACTTAAAAGATTTACCCCAAATATTCTAGTTTCGTCACTTTCCCGTTCCCGTTTGCATCCATCTCCTGAAATGCCGTGTTAAACTCGGCTGTGCTGACCAGCTTGTCCTTGTTCTTGTCGATGTACTTGCCCCATGCCATGGCCTGTTGCAGGAGGTTGCCCAGGTTCGCCGTGGAGAAGTTGAAAAATTCCGCGACGGTCAAGGCCGTGTCGTTGTTGCTGTCGTAGACCTAGATGTGTTTACATGAAACTTTGTTGTAATCGTAGACCTAGATGTTTTTTACAAGCTTTTATTTAACTCACTTCCTCTGTCTGTTGTCAGTCTGTCTAGATCGAAACGCCCGAGCGAAATTACTGGCAATTCTAACTGACAGATACGGTTCGTAGTTGGCACGTGGATCAAGACATGAAGTCAATGCAACCTGACATTAAATTTGACTTAATTGGATGCCTAATTAATTTTTTTATGAATTAATTCAAATTTATTTTAACCGAATTAGTAGGCAGTCTTTTCGACCTACTCCACGCGCGTCATCACGTTCAATAGCGGGTCAACAAGTTCAATAGGCGCGCAATGGTTTTTAGTCATGCAACTCTAGTGTAAATGAAACATGTAAAGTACTAAAAAATTTTTTAATAAAAAACGTTTTAATAACAAGCTTTTATGTAATAATGCACTAAAAAGTAGAAAATAAATTATACACTAGTATTTAAATTACTATAAAGCAAAGCGTGGGTCTCTTGCTAAATATTAGACACTACTATTTAAATTACTATAAAGAAAATCGTGGGACTTTTCCGAAATATTAGTAAATGTATCCAATAGATACTAAAGTGTCCCACGCTTTTCTTTACAGTAATTTAAATATAATAGTGTATAATTTATTTTCTACTTTTTAGTGCATTATTACATAAAAGCTTGTTATTAAAACGTTTTTTATTAAACATTTTAAAAGATAATTTGTTGTAATCTTAGACCTAGATGTTTTTACAAGACACTGTACATGCGTGAAGTTGATGAGTGAAGTACTCTTGGATTTTAATGGTGAGTAAAACAGAAAATAATTCAGTAAATATGTTTGTGGTATAGTATGATTTGATCGTGTGGTCAACACTATACAGTGCCAGCTTGATTTACCATGACCCTAGTCAGATTACCATCCGAGATAGGTAGATATAAGGATACCCTACGGTGGGTACCCATGAGATAGACATAAGGATACCCTACGGTGGGTACCAACGTGTGAAATAAGAAATATGAAACGGTCAGGTCCCCACCAAAGATGGGTGGACTCAGGGAAGTCCTACGGTCAGGTACCTATTAAAGCTGGGTGAACTCAAAGTCTCTACTGCCAGGTATCCATCAGAGCTTGGTGGACTCAGGGACGACCTACGGACAAGTACCCATCAGAGCTGGGTGGACTCAGGGACGACCTACGGTCAAGTACCCATCAGAGCTGGGTGGACTCAGGGACGACCTACGGTCAAGTACCCATCAGAGCTGGGTGAACTCAGGGACGACCTACGGTCAAGTACCCATCAGAGCTAGGTGGACTCAGGGACGACCTACGGTCAAGTACCCATCAGAGCTGGGTGGACTCAGGGACGACCTACGGTCAAGTACCCATCAGAGCTGGGTGGACTCAGGGATAACCTACGGTCAGGTACCCATCAGAGCTGGGTGGACTCAGGGACGACCTACGGTCAGGTACCCATCAGAGCTGGGTGAACTCAGGGACATCCTACGGTCAGGTACCCATCAGAGCTGGGTTTACTCAGGGACGTCCTAAGGTCAGGTACCTATTAGAGCTAGGCAGGCTCAGGGAAACCAGGTACCCATCAGTGCTGGACCGTCGATCACTACTCACCTTCACGGCGTTCATTATCTCCGCCTTGGTCAGTTCCCCGTCCTTGTTCTTGTCCAGCTTGTCGTGGAGGTCACTGATCAGCTCAGCCAATGTCAAGGCCGGTAGTAGCACGAGTAGCCACAGAGGCGACATTCTTATAGTGAAAACATACATTCAGATTTATAAACACACAAACAGACACAGAGGCGACATTCTTATAGTGAAAACATACATTCAGATTTATAAACACACAAACAGACACAGAGGCGACATTCTTATAGTGAAAACATACATTCAGATTTATAAACACACAAACACATACACATGCTGACTTTCAAGAACTGTGCTAACTCTGTACAACTGCGCTGACTCTCAACAACTGCTCTGCTGAGTCTGTACTGACTCTGACCAACTGCGCTAACTCTGAACAGCTTCGCTGACTCTGAACTGAATCTGAACAAATGCGCTGACTCTGAACAGCAGCGCTAACTCTGAACTGACTCTGAACAACTGCGCTGCTGACTCTGTACTGACTCTAAACAACTGCGCTGACTCTCAACAACTGCGCTGACTCTCAACAACTGCGCTGACTCTCAACAACTGCGCTGACTCTCAACAACTGCGCTGACTCTCAACAACTGCGCTGACTCTCAACAACTGCGCTGACTCTCAACAACTGCGCTGACTCTCAACAACTGCGCTGACTCTCAACAACTGCGCTGACTCTCAACAACTGCGCTGACTCTCAACAACTGCGCTGACTCTAAACAACTGCGCTGCTGACTCTGTACTGACTCTGACCAACTGCGCTGACTCTGACCAACTGCGCTGACTCCGGAAAACTGCGCTGATTCTGACCAACTGCTGACTCCTGACGCCTGGTCACGTGACTGGTCAGTTATTTACATTAAACTTCTAATCGTTCTCATCTGCTGGCTACCCTAACTCGTCTGCTTCTGTCCTATCTTCTTTATCTCGCCTAATTTTGCGTCATCACACGCACGTATACACACACATCCTTACAAACCCATAGACATACACAAAAATACACACATATACACACACATATTTACAAACCAATAGACATAT